TAAGATAATTTCACAATATCACTCATTTCGTTTTCCTGACTCATTAGAATCTATTTATAACGCGTTTATTTTCGTTTCATATTGTAGAGAATGAAAAACATATAATTTAACTTAGAATTTTCATAAATTAAGTTACACTAAGTGATGATAACCGAAGATTAATAATATGCTTAATATATTGTAACATAGTTAAAATTATATTCTGTGGGCATATTTCAAAACTATATTTCATTTCGTATTTATACAAGGAAAGTATTTCCTCGCAGCAACCCGGAATCCGATATAAAAGAAAAAAAAAAGAACTTACCACGAATGTTGGTACAATAAATAAATAACTCATTTTGATCATTTTTTTTTAGGACTCATTTTTATGACGTAGAAAAGTAGAATATTTATAACGTTTAAATAATGTTCATTACCAAAAGAAGAACTGACAGTACATACCTGAAACAGAAACAAAATAATACAAAATTTTTTACTGAGTATTACAAAAATATGTGAGTGTATGTAATGTCAATGTACGATCGAAAATATGTTTTGATTTCTACAGCACTATTACATAAATACGTCCTGGTTTTACATGTATCTGTTATATTCTTTTAATTAAACAAAACGATCTAAACTGCTACTAATTAACTAGATAAAATTCCACATTATCGGAACAATTGCATCACGCGTAATGAATTATTCACCAACATCTTTTTTTAATTGTGCTAGATTATTAAATAAAATTGTATTATTTCTGTATTAATTGTTGTAATAACGAGCACTATAATGCTCAATTGTGCAAACATACATCATCATGTACGAAAACAGAGATCATTCGCTGTTTCCTCTTTCTTCGCGCCATCTTGCACGCCGATTAACCGCAACGTTTCCGAGTTATTAGTAAATTCTACATTTAAAAGAACCACGTGCGCACAAGTAACCTAAATGCTCACTCGAGGACAACGCGCATTGCACTAGAAGGTACTGGAACTGAGGATTCGAACTGGTGGATACGTGCGAGAGAAGGCATGTATTTCGTATTTACCTTTGTTCCTCAACTAACCAACCAGGGTCACCAGGGTCATCATTTCCATACCATTACTATGCTGATTTATGAAAATTTATGGATTTCCATGACGCGTTCGATAAAACTTTACGTTTGATAAAAGTGTTTTAAAGTCGCGTTTTTAATTCGATAATATCTCTCTTCCGATCGACGAAAGTAAAATCACCAGTTTCACCGTATTCCGTGAAAATATTCCACCAATGAAATATCAATGAACCGAATTTCAATACAAAAAAAAAAAAAAAAAAAAAAAAAAAGAAGAGGAAGGATTAATGTCGATAGACGTGCAGCACGTGTATTTGGATAAATAAATAATAACGCAAGAACTTTTTATACAACACGCTGACCTTTACTTGGTTTCATGATACTTGGTTTCGAAGGAAGGTTAGGAAAATCATCGTTCAATTTTCAATTCACATTGTCTGTTAAATCTGTAAGAAGTATATCTAAGAATATTAATAAAATTACTTAAAAAAAAAAAAAAGAAAACAGAATTTGTTTATTATTTTAATACTTAGAGATAAACGAAATGAATCTCGCGGTATTATCAATTGTTCTATCTTGTGCGAAGGCTTTTCTGTATCAGAAAATCTTTATTTCAAAGAAGGAAGGACTTATCTTAGTTGTTTTTGTAAGACGCACTGATACGAGAACATCGAAAAAAAAAAAAAAAAAAAGAAAACAAACGATGCAATAGCGAGTTTTGTATTACGAAATGATAAAACAATACAAGTAATTTACGTTGCAATCGTGTTATACAGATCTACGAGCGTAACTGGTAACTTTTAAGGGGAAGAAAGGAAAAAGCTAATTGTAAGCCAAAGTTTTCTCTCGCGATTAAACGAGGGCTAAGAGAAATTTCACAGATAACGATCTGATCATAACGAAGGCAACAAAGAGAGAACGACCAAATGTCCTTGAACGTGTGAGAGAAAACCATTCCTTTATCCATTGTTCTTTGGTGCGATGCTCGAGTTGAAACGAACGCTTGGATTTGGACGTTCCGATGGTACGTGGCGATCAGTTGATCATAGATATACTACGTAAGGATGAATGACGTAAGGTCAGAATGTGCTTGCGACACTCATATTTATAAGTGATATATCACAAATACACTTGCAACTAATGCATCTGATTTCTCTTTTGCTCCACATATAGTACGCAAAGCAGGCACTCGCGTGGATGCAGCGCAATAGAGAAAAACCCAAGTGTGGATGCGCGCACGGCAACGTGCCAATTGTGAATGCGTGATGGACAGAGAGAAATTATTACAAATAATGAAATAACAGTATCAGAGTAGTCACAAAGTCTTTTGTTCAACAGTTGCGGTTTTAGAAACAATGTCCAGTCTTTTGGTGTAAAATGAAATTAAACCTAGACTACGTTCACCTTTTTTTATTTATTTTCCAATGATATTTCTTTCACAAATGAGCGAGGGGACTTGTTTCACGTGAGAATCAAAGTTGTTCACTTTCTTTGTTTGCCAATGCACACAATTTCATTGTAAAATATTATTAACCCAATTGCGAAGAAATTTAGGCAACTGGCAAAACGAACGGACGCTGCGTTTATTTACTGCGCAGAAACAACAACAAATATGTTTCTTGATAGACAAATGACAACTAGTCAAAGTTTGTTTAAATTACACCAGAATTGACCAAAATTTATACACAATGGGTAATAAATACCTATTCTTTAATAAATCTACGTGGAAATCTGGGAAATTTCCAAAGATGAAGAAAGTTTCAATAGAATTTTATTATTTTGTTATTCGGTGAATTCAGTATCGCTTTCTCGTTGACAGTGAATCATTAGTGTTCGCTTCGCTATTTTGAGCAAAGATGCACGGCGAAACTCGCGAGGAAACATTCGGTTCGACAAAAATTTTCCATCAATTCCCGGACGAATTCGGGTCGCATCTGGCATTTTCGTTTCTTTTTTTCTTTTTTTTTTTTCTCTCACAAAGCCGACCAGAAGCGCGTTTGTATTCGTGCATTTCCACACAATTATTTTTGCAATCGAGGCCGTTGCACGAGAATTCACAGGAAATTTTGATGATGCAGTGCCACGCGATAAAAAGAGGTCTGTGATCGCCAACAAGACGCACATGTCTACGACCAAGTATTTATAATTCGTGATCAAAAATCAAATTCGCCGGCCGAGGGAAGTGTGAATTAATCAAAAGAAAAGAAAAGAAAGAAAGAAAAAAGGAATTAATCGTTGTAAACGAAAATGTTGAAACGTTGAATTTTCAGAAGAGCGGAAAGTTTTTGGAAAAGAAAAAGTTAGAAGATCTACGATTCTACGAGTTTATCAAGTTAGTGAGCAAACGAAAGAAGTTTTTTTTACATCTGTTAGATTCTTATATTAGTTAACATGGCGAATTTCAAAAATTGACGATGTTAGAATAAAAAATGTTGTTGCTAAAATTGCGTATTCTGTCTTCAATATATACGGCATAACATATAGATTAAAACTCTGCAAAAGTTTGACTTGAAATTCAATAACTGCGTTTGCGCTCATATTTCAAATTTTTAATTCTTTAGAAAGTATTCTCCATTTTTTATGCCGTGCAACAGTAAATACACAAATTGACACGAAATTGATAGTCAAGTTGTACAAAAAAAAAGTGTATGAAAATCACGTAATATGTATATCTGACAATAAGTAAGTGGTTTTCCGTATATATAATTTCTCTAGTTGGAGAATATCTAATTCATTTAAAAAAAAATGCATATTTACATTTAAACGGAATAATATTTGCATAACTTTTTATGCCAGGCTGAAATTTTTTTAATTTCTCAACTCAAACGTTATGTCGAAGTGTTGTTAATTTGATATTTTAATAAAATATGGTTTTACTAGACAGATAAATTCGATTTCTCTCGGATGTGATTTTTAAACCTTAAACATTATAAAAGAAGTAAGTAGTACATGTCTAAATCTTTGAAAAATAGAAACGCAATTAGTTGACCTAGTTGACTGATATGGGTGACCTGGAAATTCAAGGACATTGTCAAGAAAATAGTGCAAATGCTATTGGCGTGAAGCTGATAGAAATATTTAATTTGTTAATCGTTCGAATTAAAACAGGAATATTTACGTTTTCCAAATATTTTTTTTTACACAAGAAATACTCAAATATTTTCTTAATACATATTTCCACTATGTTCTTTTGAGAAAATATTTTACTTATAATAAAAAATTTCGGAAAAAAGTTATCTGCTGAATGACCCAGTACTTCAATATGTGTAAAAGGTCGATGATATATTAACCTAAAGGAAATATTCTTTATACATATCAAATTTCAAATACAAATCTCTTTCGTTATGTATACGAGATAACACGAGTATTTCGTTTAATTTAAATAAATTTCAATAATCACTTTTTTTTTTACGTTAAGACGATAAAAACAAATGAATATTATCGGAAATATGAATTTATTAAAGTGGTTCGATCGACATACTAAAAATATTGAAAATATTGAAAAATTTTTCCACAGGTCGTACCAAGGATACACGTGATAACATATTTTTGACAGTGATCGTTGGCACAGTTACGTTGTTTTTTATCACAATAGTATAAAATAATCAACGGAGAGATAATTTTTGTGTAAGCAACGAATAATTAATTAAATAGCTTCATTGCATAAAACAAACTCTAAATATTTTAAAAATTTAATTTTTCAGTTTTTTAATCATATTTACATTACTGATCCAAGTCCTCAAAGAGTTAATAAAGACTTGTTGATGCTATAATAATAGTCCGAACAAAAAATAAAAATTTTACATGTTGATTTGTAAAATTTGTAAAAATTATCCAACAAGTTTGATCTTGTACTAGTATCTTTTACAAGTGAATTAAATATAATAATAAAAACAAAAGTAAAAGATAAAGTAAAGGCTAAACCAAAAATTTACGTTAAGAAGCTGAAGCAAAAAAATACCTCTTGAGTAAGTTCTGCTGTATTAGTTGGTTCATCAGGACTTTGCGAAGAATTTGATGGGTCAGGTGATGTCATATTCCTAGTTGGGTCTGTAGAAAGTGATATACTGGGTCCTGCTATGTCAAAATCTCTTCCAGAGTCTTCGACGTTTAACAAATACGCATGGATATCATTTAAACCAGAATTTATTCTATTGTATCTTCCTAATGAATTTAAATCTTCAAACAGATCTCTCTCATAATTTAAAAGCATAGAATCTAAGTTTTTTGGATGAACAAACATAGGGCGATGAACTATTGTGTGGACATCAGTATGCCATCTAGAACCATTGTTTAGATCTAATGAACCTACACCTATGGTTTGAATGTCCAAACCTAGGTAAGATTCTGGATCCAGTCGTAACAAAGAAAGTAGCAGTGCTAGTTGAAACAGCTCCTCGTGGTACAATTTCTTTATACACAACATTTTGCTTGTTTGGTATTTAAATCACTTCCAAGTTGACAAATTTACAAGTTTACAATCCAGATTATTTCAGCTTATTGTCACAATAGTTTGGCACGTTTTGAGATGAGTTATCACAAAGAAACAAATGTTCATGTTAAACCGTTGTTTTTGTCAATGGTTTGACTCAGTCTAAATGTCCAATAATGTTCCCATAACTGCATGTAATTACAACATATTGGCTATAAGTGAATTTATATGCACCATTCAATAACAGATAATTCAAGACTGTGTTCTTAATTGTTAACAATGTTGTCAAACACCACTTCTTAAACTTTTGTTTTCCTCTTCAACGTAACCAATACAGAATTGAAATTAGATTAAGAAAGACAGTTTTCAAAGTTCTTGTTGGATGAACTTATTCGACAGAGTGTCAGAATGGAAATAAAGATTCGAAGCTCTGTTTAAACAAGTAGAGGTCAGTTACACGAACACAAAAATAACCTCAAAACACACACTAACCACGTCAAACTTCAGTACACGTCGCGTACGTCCTACGCATGCCTCGGATTTCGTTTGATAATTTAAGGCGATACTTTTTTGAATTAATGCTAACACTTCTCTTCCACTGACACACCACAGCAACTATGATAAAAAGCAAGAATTCCCGTTTAATAGTAAAAACTGACAGATCCGCGAGCCTAAACCGGGCCTAAAGCTGTCTTAAATTCGTTTCCATTAACTATTCGAGGCACGCGACAAGCGCCAAGTACCTCCTCTTTCAATTCATTTTGGTTTGATGATATTAAAATTCCGACAATGATAACGTTATACTACTCCAATAGAATGCATTTCACAGAGAAACGAACTAGCACACCTTCCTGGGAGAGATCGTTCACGATATGTGACTCAGCATTCACTCCGGCAACGTCGTTTTTCAGGGCTGCGCCAAGTACACGCTTCTCCCCATATACTTCTACACATGATGACAAATCCGTTTGCCTCGTCGAATTTAAACCTCTAATGTATTTTATTTCTTATTCCCATTTGTGGAATACTAATCTCCCTTTGTTTCAAATGCTAACCGATTGTGAAACACTACGAACGATGACGCAATGAGAACTGCAGAAATTAATCTAGAAGTAGTTATAATACACGTGGTATCAGCTTATTCGCGTGATTGTTTATAACGTAGTTCGTACTATGTACGAAACAAAAAAGTTTACTTATACATACAGAAAAATAAAAATATTTTTAATGCGTTTGTATGTTTAACTTTATAAAATAAAACAAAAGTGAAATATCATGTATTTATGTATATGGATATCTTTATTTTCGAAATAAATTATCGATTCTTTATTGAAATATATATGTACTTATATAACTTATGTAACCATGTAGTGTTTCATTATATTTTCACTAGTTTTTCTATTACATGCAAATTCGTACTGATTGCATAACTATTTCTTTAACGTTCGTTTACTATTGCTTTGATAATTAAAACACATAAATTTACTGATAAGATAAAGACAAGACTACGAGATTATAGTTGTGAGATCATAGTCAATAATTCAATACAAGTATTTGTTCTTTTCGATATTAATAATAGTATATAGTTATCTTTTATCAAACAGATTTATTTCCTTATTTATGTGATAAAATTACGTCATTTGTATAATTATTTTAATAATTACAATAGTATATTTACTGTCATATTTATTGTTATTAATGTATATAATATCGTGTATTATAGTTCGTATAAGTCGATGAATATATGTCTAAATTTTTATACAATCGAACGTGATTAAAAAATGGAAAAGAAAGCAGCGTTGAAAAGAAGCAGCCTTTTAATATATTAATATTTATTAAGGCTGATTGAAATTAAAAAGTAGAAGTTAATTTTATATACGTATGAGTGAGAAAGAAAGATATTACTGTATGTGTGATACATCTGCATGTGTGAGCATGAAAGATATAGAGAGAGGGACTGAAATCGTGTAAAATCAAACTAAAATAAAGGAACTCCGCTTACGATCATGTTGGTACGTCGTGCGTAGTTGCCATATTTAAACTGTTAATATAAGTTCGTAAGTGATCAAGCTTACACGTGGAAGGAATCATGAGTATGTAAATAAATAATATATATATATATATATATATATATATATATATATATATATATCAAATGTATATGCAAAAAAAGCAAATATATATATATTCATATGTTTAATACTTACCCCACTCGTTGTAAACTCTGTTGACTTCAGATCAATTACATTGTTGCCGGGTGATAGTGATGTCATACGCGGTAAATCTTCCGTTTGAAGCATGTCTCTATTAATCTCTTAATTTTTAAAAGTTGAAATTATTGAATTAAAAGAAATCACTTAAGTACTACTCGATACCGACTAAAGATTCGTTACTCGCAGTATACAAGTATACAAGTGGAACACATTACGTCACTCAACTTTGAGAAACACTGTCACTTTAATAAACTGTTTTCGAAGAGTACGTTGTAAACTCTCATATTTTAGACCATATTTCAATTAAAATACAATGACAACTATTTTTGTAACGAAAGTTATAATGCACGTAATAATGCAATTGTTGAGATCGACACGGAAGCAATTGTCTGTCATTCCAGCATGAGATAATTAGAATTTTTCTTGGACTACGTCACTACAACCGCGCTATTTGAACATGGCGCCATTGACTAAAGAGAAAACAGATACGATATTACAAAGACTTCTTGTTTCACGTTTCAAAATACGACTTCGAAGAAAAACAGAATATTCCTTACGCTCTTTGCGACGTGCTATGGCCAACAATAAAGTCAATAGCGTTATTTTTATTATAAAACAGTCACATTGAAATAGTGACTGCAAACAAAGCCTATGATTGAAAAATTTTGCTAAATACGATGGAAATTATTTCGAGGAGTAAAATCATTTAGATTGAAGCTTAAAATTAAGACTTGAAGTTAAAACACGTTTTTTTAACTAACAATAAGATCAAAATTAAAATATATTACTACTTGCGTACAAAATGCGCGCGCAATGTTTAGTTCAGCTAAACGATCACAGCGCCATCACACAGTGAAACGTAGAATACACTTATTGCGATACTCAGACATATCGATATATCTCGATCTGTAGTTATTGAAATGTAACGCACATCAGTAAAAGTGGGAAGCAGTAGCAAGAAGAAATGTCACTTAGAAGTCTACAGGTAAATATTATAACCATTATTTTTAGACTTATATTTACACTTCTGAGTACATTTGCAATTTAGAATAGTGATCATTATTTCAAAGAGTTATTATTCAAATTAGTTCCTCCTTGGATAGAAATGAATATACATACATATATATATATATGTTTCATGGTTCACGAGTTGGCATAGAAAACTTTTATCATATTCATTGTTCAAAACATTCTTATAGGACGATTTGCTTTCTCATAACTCTCATAAAAGTGTTGAAAATTGTGGTTTTAAGATATATTATCATGCATAACGTTTATTAAATCATGTAAATTTTTACTTAATAATTTTTATATAATTTGTTGCTTTTGTATATTTATTTGTATAACTTTTAGTTCTCTTTTGTTCAGATTCTTGATTGATTGCAAGAGAATATGATATTGCAATTAATGATAAATCTGATAATTTTTCATGGATGTAAAGTAACTTGATTTGTATCGATAAAAAGGTAGGAATTTTCCGGAAAAGAACGCCATTATGGGTAAATTTAAACACATTCTGCGCATCACGTTTTTTACGTACTGCGCAGCTTTGTCTAACTAGAAAAAGCGCGCCATATTTGACTAGTTTGAAATACAATTCAAAATGTTGGACATTCAGAATATAATTTCTGTAAATCAATTATATTAGAAAATATTCATACATATTTGTCAGGAAATATTTTGCAATATATAATAATATTTTAGTAATTAACAAATTATTCACAAATTTTGTTAGATTATTATTAGTCAGAAAATAGAATCTGACTGAAAATTTGATAAGTTTAAACTTCTTATTTTTGAATTGAATATCAAGTACAAATCATTTGTTACAGATTACTTCCAGATTTCATTTTTTTCTATGGGATTCGACGATTTTTGTTTGATGATGGATTTGACGATATAGATGACAACTTTTTTCGCATCTAACGGTGAGTCGCATGTATTTTTGTTCCTCTGGTCGCTCAATCATCTCGTAGGATGAAAGATCCCAATCGACACAAGTAACTGGTTGTACAACGTAAATTTTTCGACGAGCATAATGACCGCGAGTATTTATTATACTCGCGAGTAGTAACATTTTCCTATTTTATTTATTAGTTCAGGATAGGTCTTCTTACGTATCGCGTGTTTTAACAATTAAAATTTCAAACCAATAATATTACTATAATTTCAGCATCAAATTAAATTCAAGTATAATTCTCGCTGCAAATGTAAGAGGACATTTCGCGACAAGCAGATTTCTGAATCAAAGCAACAAATTTTAAATATTGCTTTCACGTGTTCGAAAATGTGCTTT